ATATGCTATGTTAAATGGTGACAAGTACTATGGAAAAAAATAAAGCAGAGACTAGGACCAGGAATTCCCCAGGGATAGGGAGCGTTTGCTGTTTTTAGAATGGCAGAGACTTAAGTCAGAGAGAGGGAATAGCTCTGCAGACACTTGGAGAAAGAACAATCCAGTCAGTGGAGGATTACCCTAAGGTAGGAGTGTGCCTACCATGTGCTAAGCTCCTTGCAGACATCTTGTATTTTATTCTCACACAACTATTTAAGGGAGGTATTATCCCCATTTTCCAAACAGTGTTCAGAAAGAATCAGTAGGCCGGGTGCAGTGGTTCACATCTGTAATCTCAGTACTTTGGGAGGCCGAGGCAGGTGGAACTTCCGAACTTGAGGTCAGAGGTTCGAGACCAGCCTGGCTAACAAGGTGAAACCCCATCTCCACTAAAACTACAAAAATTTGCTGGGTGTGGTGGTGCGTTCCTGTAATCCCAGCTACTCAGAGGCTGAGGCAGGAGAATCACTTGAACCCAGGAGGCAGAGGGTGCAGTGAGCGGAGATCGCACCACTGCACTCCAGCCTGGGTGACAGAGCAAGACTGTCTAAAAAAACAAAAAACAAACACACACACACACACACAGAAAGGATCAGTAGCTTGTCCAAGGACACAGTAAAAGTTGAAGTGTGAGTGAAGAGTGGCCCAGAGTGTGAGTACCCTGTGCAGCCCAATAAAAGAGGTAGTTGGGGGTATGAGCTTTGGATTGGTTGGTTTGCATATGAAAGGCACACTTGCAAATGAGTCCTTTCTATATCCAGGAATTGACTAAACCCTAGGAGGGGCAGTGCCTCCAGAATCAGCCAGGCCCCAGATGTCAAAACATCAAAAAACACGGAAAATAAAAAGACATGATGAAGTCAGTGCTGATTTATTTATCCATCTCCTCCTGCCTGCAGCACAGTGCCTGGCCATAGCAGATGGTTCAGTGGTTGCTCACAGAAAAGACTAAGACGAGCAACACAGAACAAGCAGTCATATCTCGGGAGATACACAAGGGCTGGAGCGGGAGGTGTTGATCACATTGTTTTCCATCCCTGACAGCCAGCAGACAAGACCCAAGGGACAGGTAGCAGGAAGGGAAGTTCTGATGTAGGGTGAAGGAATTATTTTGAGAGAGAGGCAATCTCAGTAGGACCCTACCATGAGCAAACAAGCAGGACAGCTGGAGATCAGGAGGGTTCCAGATGTCACAAGGGCTCCTTCTTATAGCGTTGAGCCAAGGTGAGCTACAGTCCTTCCCAGGGTCTACAGACATCACCTCCTGCATTTGCCACCACTAACCCCTCCCCAGTCTAACTCTTGAAAGTCCTGAAATGCCTGTGATTTGGCTGGAGCAGCCATCCTCATCCCAGGTAACAGACTCATTACCTGCCTGCCCCTCGTGCCTGGTGCTGGGCAGCTTCCATTGTTCTCTGGAGCTTGGTTGGCTACCAAGCCTTAAATCCAAAAGTTACTTTCTTTCTTGTGCTGGCACAAAAGAAAGTTTTGGCCTTTAGATGGACTTTTCCCCCATTCTTCCCCACAATGACCAGACTCTGAAAGGAAGAGCAAATGACTTTTTCCTCTTGGCAGAATCGTGAGAGCTTGATCAGTTCAAGCCCAGAATGTTTGTGGATCAACACTCACTCAGCAAACCTCGATGGATCGTGATATGTGAAGAAGAGGGTGAACTCACAGCATTTTATCAAGCAAGGGTTATTCTACAATCAAATGCATGTTTGAACATGGCAAAGTGCTTCTGCACATCTGGTTTTATCTTAGATCTATCCACAACTCTGCAAAGAGGTAAGGGAGTGTATTATTCCTATTTTATCCATGTTGGAAGCTGAAACTCAGAAAGGTCAAATAACCTGCCCAAGGTCAAGGCAGGAACCAAGAGCCTCTAACTCACCTGCGGAATATTCTGGCTTCAGCCCTGCTGGGAGACACTGCTCCGAGACTTCAGAGCAAAGAGGGGAGTTTCTTGTCTTCTGTTCAGGAGGCAGGAATAGTAGACGAGCACAGATTCTGAAGCCAGAAAATGTAGACTTGAATCCGTTCCTATTCCTCACTAGCTGTGTGACCTTAAGTGTGTTACTTGATATCTCTGAGGCTCCGTCTCCTCTTATGAAGAGAAGAGCAGACTACCCCTCATGGGATTTCTGTAAAGATTCAGTGAACCAACTTTAGTAACACACCCGGCTTAGTACCTGATGAGAAATAGCTGTGCAAAAAGTGCTGGTTCTCTCTCTGTCTTCTGTTCCGGGGTAACACTTGCCACGTGGAAAAGTGGCCACATACTCATTCTCAGAGTCCTGAGCTGAACAGGTTTCCCAGGAGCTGATGGTTTGAGGTTTGTGGGCTATGGCTAAGGGGTATGAGATTTCCGGGCATGATGCTCACACAAAACCCTGAATGTGAGGTTGGGGTGAGTACAGCATGCTGATGCCTGAGCAGAAACCCTTGAGGGACACTTGGAAATCATGACTGAAGAACACTTGAGTGTGCAGTGGCATCAGAGGGGTCAGGGGAGGCACGCTGAACTTCACAGTGGCACTCCCACACAATTAGGCAAATTCTTTGGACCTCCCTGATTTTCTTTAAGAAGGCCTTTCTGTCTTCACTCTCCAAGAACTCATTAAATTCTTTCTTGACACTATTTTCATTCTGTGGTTCGAACATCAGAGTAAGGAGCTCCATAAAACTGTTCCCAGCAGGATCTTTCTTTCATGAATCCTAAATAAACTTTTTCCAGCTTTAAGGAGTGGTGGCCACTCTGAGACTTGGCAAACATGTCAGCCTCGACCCCGAATATGACTTGATCCTACAGCATGTTGCTCCTGCCAATCAGTGGGTCCCTGATGGACGTGTCTTCATTTATTCAGTCCGCTTGGTTTAGTGTTCATTCTTAAGAAAATCCATCCTGGTCCCTTAGGACCTTCCGTTAATAGACTGGTTTTGTAGTAGCTACTCCCACCCTGCTATTTCCTCTCAGTTTAGTTGCTTTGCCAATGCACTTTCACTCCAGCCTTCTCTTACACTTTTCAGCCTCCTGTCACAGTGGAGGCTTAAATGGGAAGCTTCTCTTTACTCGGAAGGACCAATGCCAGATAAGGGTGGGTCTGAGGAGGATTCAGGGGCCAGGACCGCACCTTACCCGGAGCCTGAGCATCACCCTTGCTGTTCTGAGTCTGTTCCCTCCTTTTGGTACCTTGGATCCTGCAATTAAGAGAGAAAGCAGAGACTGCCTAGCTCACAGACCCTGAGGATAATTTACTGACATCATGGCACTGGAGAGTGTCATGAATACCTGGCTCAAGCCTAGCTCCAGAGAGTACATTTCAAAAATGTCAAATATATGTAAAGTACCCCCTCCCCACCAGTATTGTATATGGCACAATTTCACTGAAACCCCATCCTGAACATTGTCATAAGAACATCATCATAAAACCCACATTCTCCTACTGACACTGGGGGCATGATTAGGAGCAATTAAAGGACAAATGCAGTGTTCATTCCCAATTAAAAGAGATTTGACTTCAGAGGTCCAGTATGAATTCTTTCCTTAAAGAAGCACAATAGAGCATAGTAATTAGAGATTCAGGCTCTAGTGCCAAACTATTGGATTCAAATCCAAGCTCTGCCACTTGCTAGCTGTCTAACTTGGGCAAGATGTTTAACCTCTTTTGTGCCTCGATTTCCTCATTTGTAAAATAGAAATAATAATAGCAATCAACTTGTAGGGACGCTGTGAAGAATAAAAGTGTCAGTACATATAAAGCGCATAAAACAGTGCCCAGCACACAGTAAGTGCTAACTAAAAGGAGCACTCACCAAGCTCCCTTTGGAGGACTTTTATACTGCATGGGGGCTCCCTGGGGGTACACAGGCAGGAGTTTCCAGATGGATGTGGGGTCTTTCGAAATCCTGACATCAGCAACGTTTTGTGTGTGTTCCCCAATGTCCACAATCATGGATCAGAAAATAACCAAGATTATGCAAATTTTACATACTGTCTATAAGAAAGATGAGCCCAGTGTAGCCATCCCACCCCCACCTTTCCAATGTGCCACAGTGAAGAAGTCTTTATCAATGCAACCCCAACAGTCCAGCTTCAACCATGGTGAAGGCCAATTGCAGTCCCCCAATGAATGACTGACACAAATAAATCACAAAATACCCTTCACTCTCAAGGTAGGAATGATTTCATATATCTTCAGTTTTCATATATGGCTAGGGGAGTTAGCAAACATTTTATTTAAACTTCATTTGAAATTTATTTTAACCATGTAAACAAGCCATGATGAAAATGTTGTATATACTTAGTGTTCATACATAGAGGCCACCAGCCCAGTAACTTAGGATGCCAAATTAACTTATTTTTATGCAGACTTCTGAAAGAAGTTTTCTTGTTTTAATTAAAAAGTACCCTGAGACTAAGAGTCAAGCTGTGAAAAGGCCATTGCTGTTTGCAGCTACTCAACTGTATAAACCAGGGTTTCTTGGAGCTAGGTAACCAAAACCAAAATCTGGAGAGAAACTGGATGCTGAAACTGATACAACTCTGCAATTTGTTGCATTGGCCCTGATTTCAATTTCCTGTGCTCATCAAAACAACACCATTCACATTATACAAAGTAGGTGTCACCAATTACAAAACATATGTGTGCTCATAAAATATTGCTCTCATCTAAATATTTTATTATTGAAAGAAGTTTGAATTCACACTGTAATTGTTATAACAGTATGCCAGTGTCCCTCAAAACCCTCCTCCATGCCTCTCCCAGAGCAATGCAAACTCTCCACTGTACACCTATGATTGTTGACTTTCTCCTACTTAAAAAGTTTCAGCGGCTTCTCCCATTCCCCATAAGACAAAGTGAGGACTCCTCAGCTTGGCAGCCAAGGGCATAGCAATCTTGTTCCCACATACTGTTCACTGGCATCTCTTGTTCCCTGGCATCAGTCCCTGCTCCAGCTGCACAGAACTGCTTGGTATTTCCTAGGAAATGTCAGGTATTTTCATGCTGTTCCCTTGGCTGCAAATGTCCTTATCTCTCTCCTTCTTCCAGTCACCTCTCCTCACTCCAACTCATTTCTGAAATTCATCCATCAGCAGCCCATGGCTCATTGGTGCTCCTGTAGCACCTTACACCTGGCTCTATAGTGAAATGATTGGTATGCATCTCCAGGTTCCTCACCTGATTGACAGCTTCTGCTGAGGTAGTGATGTGTTTATATTCTGGCACACACACATGTTCAATAACATAGAAGGAAGAGAGGGAGGAGAAAGAGAGAAGAGGGAAAAGGACAGAAGGAAGGATAGAAGAGGAGAAAGTGACAGCCCAGCCTCCCATGCCATGCCTGCCACCTCCCAGGAGCATAGAAATAGCCCTTCCAGATTAAGCTGTGTTCCTGGACTACTTGTGTGACTACTCTTTTCCCTGCTCTTTCAAGGTAATAATACCTTTGATTCCCTTTCAGCGTCTTGACACCAAATAACACTTGTGAGGCAGTGTTACTCCTATTACACAGATGAGGTAACTGAGACCAGAGACATAAGGTGATGGGCCAGAATTCTGCCAAGGACCTGGTCTAATTCCGCTAAGGGCCCAGTTTACCCATCACTGTGTGTTCAGTTCATATGTATGTGTGTGTAAGTATGCACACTTTGGTCGGGCACTGTGGTGGGACGGATGTGGCTTAGTTAGTCTTTTCTATTAAAAAAATGATTCAGCCAAAGCTACAATTTCACGAATTAGAGGCAGCATTTTGCCTTGGGCTTTTTATTCTGTGCAGATAGGTTGGTATGGAAACCACACTTCTAAGGTTGCAATCAAAACACCATTCACCTCGATTGGTGTTCTTAAAATGTGATGATTGAAGATGAGAAATTTCTACATTTACCAAATCGATTCTTTCCCGTCAACAAGAATCTATGTATAAATGGTTGTAAAGTAATTGTAGCAAACTCTTTCAAAATATTCCATATATGTGCTCTAACAGCAAACAATAAATATAGCTACTTTTCAGTGTCTGTCTCCGAATAGATGGTAAGCTCCTTGAAGGCAGTGATATTTTATTCATCTCTGGGTGCTCAAGGATTAGATAGGAAATAGCACTAAGAGGGCATTCAATAAATGGGGTTGGATTGGATAAACAAGACAACTGGCGGATTTGCCAATACAGGTTAACCACAACCTTTTACAGTGTCCTACCTCTGTACAACCTTCAAAACCTTCTTGCTGCTTTACGTGGTTTTCCCACCTTTTCTGCAAGTTAAACAGGAAACATATTATTAGTCCCATTATGCCAAGGAGAAAATAGAAACTCAGCAAAATCCAGTGACTTAGCTGGACTGGTCAACAAGCACTGGAGTCCAGATTCAAACCCAGGCTTGCCAGCTCCTGGGCCAACGCCCTCCTCTCCTCCCCACACAGCCCCTCCCAAAAGTCTCTGCACATGGAGCAGCAAGTACCCACTCAACAGGCTTCAGAACACTCATAGCTGACCCCCATACCTTCTCCACTGTTTCCTGAGCATCCTCTGTGGTGACTTAGTTTAATGCAGACCTTTCCAAAATGCATCTGGACTCACTCCTCTCCCACAGCTTTTCCTGGATTCTGCACATCCCTTTTCTCCTAATTAGCTTTGGCTTTCCCTAGTTTGCACTGATGTCTGCTCTGCGAGAGTTCTGGAGTACAGTGTATTTTTATACTAGAGTTTTTCTCAGTGTTTATCGACATTAATTTCTAGGAAGCCATGTGAGTGGGGATGATAATGAATCACTCTGGGTACTTTTCCACAGAGAATGAGCCCAGGGACCACCATGGGGGCTGGGCTGATGCGGACGTGGAGCTCCCTGAAAAGTAATCAGAGATGCTTTAGAGTACTTTAGGAAAGTGCGGACTCACAGGAGAGAGGTCTGTTTCTGTCATCTTGTCTTTTTGTCTCACTCGATGGTTAGGAGTAACCATCAGTACCCATGGAAACCAGATGGGAGAAGCCCTCCCTGCTTTGGGCTGCTCACTTTAGAGGATCCTGCCCTACAGGACCAAGACCAGAGTGAGGCAGGAGCTGGCCTGCCTTTGTGTGAGACCGAGAGTGATACCACCTTAAATTTCGCACTGAGGCACCTCACCTGCCTTGTCCTAGTCCCAGCCCGGCTCTCCTGGCCCTTCTTTGACCAGACCCACCCTAAGGGAAGAATTCACAAAGCTGAAGTCCTGTGCCACCCAGACCTGTGTCTCTCTTTCTAGATCCTGAAATTTCCAAAGGCCCTGAGCCTGCTTCCAAAGGCTGCACAGGTGCCACTGTTGGGCAAACCCCTAAGCAGGATGGAATGTACACATGGCTGTGCAGAAAGCCCTTAGTAGGAGGGACTGGCTCAGGGCGTGGTATGAAAAGGTGGCCACAAGCCTACTCTCTTCATCAACTAAGCTCCAGGACAGAATTCAAAAATTCAAGAATTCAAAATTTGGATCTGGCCTTCTATATCCTTATATGTTCTACTTTTGATTATAAGAAGATAGAACGTTTTTAGTTTAACAGTGTGTTAGGGTGATGTATTACTTCAAACTATCTAGACATGTGATATATGGGTCTCTATCCACACTCTTGTCTAGATCCCACAAATGTGAGCCTGGAGGGAAGTCTTGAGAGAGGATTGACCTAAACTTCAGAAGACTCTGTGGAGAAATGACCCCTCCACACACACCTGCTACTATAGGTCTCTATTTCTTGTATAGGACCATTGCAATTAATTGTCCTAATTTATGATCCTGCCTGCCAGGTAAATTGTCAAGGTGGTATGTGAGCATGTGTATGAGGGGATAGGCTTAGCATGGTCACCCATGAGAGAAGAGGCCATTTTTGGTGAGGATGAAGCATGGCAGTTTGCATGAGAATTTCCCTGACATTGTCCATGAAGGAGGCAGCTAAACATGGTGGGGGCCCTGCACATGGAAAGTGGATGGAATTAGATCTGCCTCTATCACAATTAGGAGAGAAGCTCTGCAGAGTCTTACCTCAGGGTACTTACACTTCCCTCCCTTCGGCTGGGCACAGTGGCTCACACTTGTAATTCCAGTACTTTGGGAGGCCGAGGCAAAAGGATCATTTGAGGTCAGGAGTTCGAGTCCTCAAATGGTGTGTCAAATGGTATGTCAAAGTCTGGCATCTGGTGGTTGGGGAGGAGTTGGTCTAAATCCACTTCTCCAAACCTCACCTTCACCCTCCACCATCCACCTGGGTCCTTCCAGAAAACTTGCAAGGTCTGGCTTTCTGCCTGGGCCCCAGCAGATCCACTATACAAACCCCGGACTCACTGACAAGATATGGGAACAATAAATCTTCCCTCATTCTTTTATTCATGTCCTCACCTCTGCAGAGAGTACTGAGAAAAACAAACCCCACAAAATCCCTGTGGGCTCCAGCAGTCTTGCAGTCTCTTCTTTGCTCCTTTCTGATGATCTTTGGAAGGCAGAGGCCAAGAGAAGAGGCCCATCCAGTTCCCTTAGGAGCAGCAGGTCCACCCCCTCCCCCTCCCCCTGTCCTCCTCCTCCTCTTTCTCCTCCTCCTGAGTGGGCTAGACCACTTGAAGACAGTGGTCTTCAAGTAACATGCTTGCCTGCCCCAGGTTCTGGGGACCAGAAATCACAGTGACTTGGGGAAACTAGGAACTCAATATGCATGACTTGCTGAAGTAACGTTATGCCTGCCTTGCCTTCGCAACCTCCTGCAAATTGCCAGACAGCTTCTGGGCCTTGGAGGGCCAGGTTGTTTGCTCAAAACATTAGGTGAGGGAGGGCTGCCCTGGCTGCCGGCTCAGAAACTACCACAGGGAAGAAGTGGCAATCAGGGCAGATGCGGACCCTGAAGAAAACGGGACTCTCTCCATAAGGGCCTTGAGGGCAAGCCAGCATCTGCTGATGTCATAGCCTTTGCAAAACAGTTCAGGCCTTGACGATTCCCAGGACCTTCCTCCTCCAAGTCTGGGCATCAGGGAGTGCTTCCATTAAGCTCAATCGAACTGAGGAAGGATAGCAGGAGCAGGGTGCACTGAATTTTGCATAACTCCATTTATACAGAAGAGAGGCACTGGACTTAGGGTGACCCACTGTCCAAGTTTGTCCAGGACTGAAAACTCTCCCAGGACATAAGCCTTTCAGTGCTAAAACCAGGACAGTCCTGGGCCAACTGGGAAGATGGGTCACCCTAACAGAGTGGCTGTGGGAAAAGATCCTCCCTCCCTGAGCCTGGCATGGCTGGGTCCAGAGCAGGGCTCGGATCCCAGCTGTCTTCTAGCAGTTCTCTAACCCAGGACTTTCCTCACTGCAGAGCTTATGGCCTGCAGTGAACACCAAGAACAAAGTACTCAGATAGTTCCAGCTGAGCAGGGCTGGGGGTAGCTCTTCCGAAAGAATCCACTACAGCCTCCATCCACCAAATATTTATTGAAAACGCCTGTATTAACAATAAACATCCACTAGATGGTCATTTGAGGTGGGTTGCTAAGGCACCTGTGACCTTGTACACACTCAAACTGCATTCTCAGGAGGCTGTTTGCAGCATTCCTTATCACACCACACACTCCACTCCCTATCCTGTTTTCAGGGTCAAGGAGTTTCATTCTCATGCACAAACATACACAATGCATCAGTATTTTTCCATGCCCGACCTCAGATGCCATATACATAAGCTTGAATATATTGCCATGCGCCCCTCACTGTTCTACGCATAGGGAAAGGCTGGAGGAAAGAGTGGATCCTCATGGCCAGCTTAGGAGCTGTCAAGGAAAACAGAAAGAAGGAACATGTTCATAGTCTTTGCCATTGAGAGGAAATTCCTTTGGCTGCCTTTGTGGAGCTGGGGCCCATGAGGCTTCAGACAGAGCCTGGGCTGTCAGGAAGTGAGCTGGAGAACAACTAAAAAACTACCAGGTTGAGGAGCTCAACCTTTCCTTGAATCCTTTCCCAGGGTTCAAATGCTGGGTATAGCAACATGGCGAAAGCTGCCTTTAAAGTCTTTTGCCCCATTTCTATGGCTTCCACAAACCCAGAGGGCTCCCAGGGACAGCAGACTTGCAGTGCTGTGAAGCCGTAACAAGCTGACTTCTGTAGATATGTCCCAGGGAACAGGCCCCTCCTGAAGGTTATCCAAACTGGAAGTGGTAAGCAGACATCTCACGAGGCAAAAGAAGTTTGAGCTAAAGCTTGTCTGACAAGGCAGATCCCATGGAGACCACCATGCCCAGACTTCTAAGTTAACAAATGAGAGACCAAAATCCAGAGAGGCTGAGTCGCCTGCTCGGCACATTCCCACATGGGATGTGATGGGACTCTGCAGCTAGACCCATTGTTTCCTACTATTAGATGCCACAGCCAGAGGTTCCTTGGAAGGGAAAAAGCTCCAAGATGAGCCCAGCCCTGTGCAAGTCTCTGCCTTCCTGGAGCCCACGTGCTGTTCTGGGAAAGGCTAAGTAGCAAGGGCTCTGTGGCTCTGTAGGAATGACTTCTCTCTCCATTCTGTTTGGTTCCCCAGGTTGGTTCCCTCCAGCACTCACCTCCAGGTGAAATCCTCCACAGATCCTCCTAGAGTGCCCCACCCTGGGGAGACCCCAGGCAGCAGGTGCAGGCCTGCTTGGCCTCTCTCTTCCCTAGCCTTGAATGTGTGAGAAAGACCAGCCTCAGCCCTCAGGAGTAGGAAGCTGCTGCCTACCTACTTCCTTACAAAACTTCCTAGAGGTGGACAGGTTTAACACACAGTTGAAAGAGTCATTAACTTTTCAGTCAGTTTAGTAGGAAACAGAGTCCTGATGGTGGGGCAAACCCTGAGAGTTCACTGCAGCATGTCTGCCAGGAAGGTAGAGACAGGGCTCAGACCCAGGATGCTGGACTGGGAAGTGAGGGCAGGTGAAGGTAGGTTCTCCTTTGAATAGCCACGGAGCAGCAAGAGGGTCCTAAGAGCATGGCCAGGAGAGGGCAGAGGAGAGAGGAGAGAAGAAGCATCAGAGGGACTTGGAAAAAACATCTCCTGACAGCTACCAAACCAGCTCTAAGCATGTATAGCATTTCCAGCTCTGTCCTATTGTGGGTGAGCCAAGCACCTCCAAAAAGAAAATTTAAGAAAGAACCTGAGAAATGTTCCTGAGGAATGGCAGGGCTGCCCCTTGTTCCCAGGAATCCTTTTAGGAAAAGCAGAACTCCACAGAAAGTGTCAGGAGGAGACAACCTGCATCTGATGCCAGAGGGATGCTGAATCCTCTAGCATCCTCGAGATCCCACAAGCACGGAGAAGAAGAAGAAGAGGGAAGGGATCTGCACCTGTCATGGCAGCCAGGAGCAACCCTCTGGGACATCTCAGGAGGCTCGAAAGCTCTGCCCAAGCAGGTGGGATGCTGAATCCTAACAGAGGAAGGCAGAAGTTTCCCACATACAGAATTGCCCTGACTTCTATAAGAACAGGCTCTTAGAACTCTCTGAGCAATTACTACCTCCCCACTCAGCTCTGTGCCTGGCTGGCTACTAATAATTTTTTGCAAATAAGCCTCATTGCTCCAGTAAGACAGCTGGCTTTTCTACCTCCAAATTCCCTACAGAGCTTTAGAGAGCTGGGAACCCAGCTGGTCCTCATTAAAGCCCCTCTAGACTCAAACCTTCCCAACCTTCCTGGCCCCACCTCCACCCCTTCATTCCAGGAGCAGGCCCAGGGGAACAGAGCTGGCCAGGCCATCACTTCTCTTCCCTCTCCAAAGGGCTGGACTGGCAAATGCTAACAAGGAAAGTGAGAGCTTCTACATCTGCAGATCTGACTGGTAGCCTGTTCATAGATAACAGGATCTTCTGTATAGGTAAGCAAGAAATCATTAGCAAATTATCTATTAGGGTACCCTTTGTAGCTCCCCTATGGGAGATATTTATTTGTAAGGTTTAGTTAGACCATGAATCTCAGAGAGAACTGGAAATTTCTAAGCATATTGCCTGAGAAGGGTCTTTGGCAGGAGCCTCTCAAATTCCTGGGTTTTGGTTCCTTCATCTATAAAAAAGTAAGCGTGGGAGGCAGGGTGCAGTGGCTCATGCCTGTAATCCCAGCACTTTGGGAAACCAAGGCAGGTGGATCACTTAAGGACAGGAGTTCAAGATGAGTCTGACCAATGTGGTGAACCCTCATCACTACAAAAAAAAAAAAAAAAAGTCGGGCTTGGTGGCACATGCTTGTAGTCCTAGCTACTTGGAAGGCTGAGGCATGAGAATCGCTTGAACCAGGGAGACAGAGGTTGCAGTGAGCCAAGATCATGCCGCTGCACTCTAGCCTGGGTGACAGAGTGAGACTCTCTCTCAAAGAAAAAAAAGTAGGTGTGCCAATGCATTACTGTAAGCAGGTGACTTAGACCAGGTGACCTAAGCAATTACCTTCCAATTCTATTATTCTGTGCAATACTGGATCATCTCATTCATTCATATGCATGACAGTGTTGTGGATTTAGAGTAAAAAGTCCCACGGCTGACATCCTGGCTCCGGTGCTTACCAGCTGGGTGGTCTTGGGGGAGCCACTTAATCTCTCTGAGTTAATTTTCTTATCTGTAAAATGAGGACAATAATACTAATATCTACCACACAGATGTTGTGAGATCCCACATGTGAACGTGTTTCCTAAACTGTAAAACACTATTCAAATGTTACTGATTATTAAAAGGCTTTGATGGCTGTAATTTTTTTAAACTCCCCTTTAAATACACAAATGATTATAATTGACATTAGAAACACAAAAAAGATCACAGCTGTTGGATTTGCTGTTAACATATCCCTGCCCAGGGGGATCCACTCCCTCATCAGTGCCTCCTGAGGCGAGGACTTAAGGGAGCTGGGCAGTAAATGTTGATCTCAGGGTAGAGGCTGGAGGTCCGACCTCCAGGGACACAGGGTAAGGCTACTTTGCAATTCAGCAGAACTTTTCCTACGTTGCTTCTACACGTTGACAGCAGACTCCCAGCAACTACTTCCTAGGTAATAAACTGGCAGTAAATTGAAACCTTCGTTTTTTAGTCCTCTTCATGTAAAGGGAGCAGACCCTCTAGAAATGAGTAATCATGTGTACAACTCCTCAAAAAATATGCTGATAAACTCACAAAGTTCTGTTATTGCTAAACACTAATTGCATTTCCTTAGGTAAGCACCATAAAAAATTCATTGCAGTTTTTAGAAACAAGATGCCAATTACATTTTAATTGCTAGAGAGGAGAGAGGAGAGGAGGGGTTTAACCAAGGAAAAGCTAACTAGGCATAAACTCAGAAAGAGAGGCCAAGTCAAAAGGCCCAGTTCCAAAACAAGAGCTAAGAAGGAGAGATGGGGCCAGGTGCTGTGGCTCACACCTGTAATCCTAGCACTTTGGAAGGCCAAGGTAGGCAGATCCCCTGAAGTCTCGAGTTCGAGTCCAGCATGGTCAACATGGCAGAGCTCCATCTCTACTAAAAATACAAAAAAATTAGCCAGGCATGGTGGCCCACACCTGTAATCCCAGCTACTTGGGAGGCTGAGGCAGGAGAATTGCTTGAACCCGGGAGGTGGAGGTTGCAGTGAGGTGACAGAGCAAGACTGGAGTCAAAAAAAAAAAAAAAAAAAAAAAGGAGAGATGGGCCTTGCTGGGAAACCAAACCTTCCCAAGAGAGCATTGACTTAAGTGGTTCTCAGATTCAAAACCTCAGAGCACCTGGATGGCTAAGGCTTTTCACTGCAAATCATGACATGTAGATTTAACAAATGTAAAGAATTAAACAAACCCCATCTCTACAAAAAATACAAAAACAGAATTAGCCAGGTGTAGTGACGTGCACCTGTAGTCCCAGCTACCAGGGAGGCTGAGCTGGGAGCCCGGAGCCCACAATGTCAAGGATCCAGTGAGTGGAGATGGTGCCACTGCACTTCAGCCTCAGCAAAACAAATAAGCACAAAACGGAATTCTGGAGTAGATGAGCAGGAGTCAGCACCAAAGCTCCAACAAACATGTATAGAAGATAGAAAGAAAATTGTAATTCTACCCTGTAGTGTGTGTGTCTTCATGCGAGTGAGAGAGAGGGAGAAGAGAAAACTGGACCGAGACCATATATCATTTTAATAACAGAACTCCTTGGACCAGTTCACAGAACTGTCATTTAAAACCAACATCCTAGACCAACTCCAACCTTCTTGTTTTCCAGTGCCCCCACCCCATACAGGGCCAGCCAGAGCCACGTGAGAACAGGAAGGTGAGTGGAGAGAGAGAATGGAGAGGATCCTGCCTCCCACTGGCTTCATCTGGGCTGGCCCAGACTTGACCCCATCTGCCCAGGAGCCTCTCAGCCATAGAATCCTCTAGGGAGGCACTTAGCGCACCTGAGAGCACAGGGAAAAACAGGACTGGGAGCACCTCCCAGCACTCTCCCGAATGACTCACACAGGGGCTGGGAGAAGAGAGGGCAGAAGGGCAGGCTTCCTGCTGCTTCCAGCAGCCTCTTCTTCTCCAGCTCCTTCCTCTTTCCTCCTCCCCCTCAGCCCTCAGCAACCACAGCATTCCCAACCCAGCCCCAGCCTCTCTCCTGTCATTGAGTTTCTAATGAGAAAGAGGACTCTGAAATCAGGGCCCAAGAGGAGAGGCCCGGCGACTGGGTGGCTGGCCGATGGGTGGCGACTGTTCCTCGCACGCAGTAGTGTGGGAGGTCCATGCCTTCGGGGTCGGAGGCTGCTGCCTCTCTAGTAGTGGAGCTGCTGGAGACCCCAGGAAGCATGAGGCGACAGTATGCAGTGAGACTGGAGGAAACAGCAGGACTCAGAGGAGGGAGTCCTAGACCAAAAGAGAAAGGAACCAGATTCACAGTATGGCTCTACACTAGCCAAGCGACTTTTATTTTAGTAAACCACTTAACCATGCAGGGCCTTGATTTTCACTTCTATCAAATGGAGCTAAAAATATCTGCTGCTTGAGATTTTTTGTAAGATTCCTATGAGAAGATGGGTATATACATTCCCTGTGAACTCTGAAATGTATTGTCTACCAACCCCCACCCCTGCCCAACCTTAGAGGAAGATGCTTTTCATGATCACACCCTACATTTGTAAAATACTTTATGTAAATAGTGTGTATGTATACACATTATCTCACTTGGCCTTCCGATTGAACAGATGAAGGAGAGTGGCTTTCCCAGAGTCACACAATTTACGTAGATGCAGAACCCAAACTGCTAAGTGCTGAGCTCTCTCCGCAGTGCAGGGAATGTGGCCACTGGTAACCGCCTTAGAGAGCAGGGAGGGAGGGCGGTAACAGATACACATAAATGACATGACAGCCGTGGCTCACGCCTGTAATCCCGGCACTTTGGGAGGCCAAGGCGGGTGGATCACCTGAGGTCAGGAGTTCCAGACCAGCCTGACCAACGTAGTGAAACCCCATTTCTACTAAATACAAAAAATTGGCCAGGCATGGTAGTGCATGACTATAATCCCAGCTACTCGGGAGGCTGAGGCAGGAGAATTGCCTGAACCAGGAGGTGGTGGTTGCGGTGAGCTGAGGTTGCACCATTGTACTCCTGCCTGGGCAACAAGAGCAAAACTCCGTCTCAAAAAAAAAAACAAAAAACACTACAGATCACTCACTCTAAGCCTAGCACCATGCTAGGCATTGTACTGGTCTTTTAATCATTACAATAGCATATAAGTAGCCATGATGGTTATTATCAGGAAACTAAGGTTTACCAAAGTTAGAAACTTGCCAAAGGTCGACACAGGAAATGGTAGATCTGGGATACAAACTCAAGTCTACTCTTACCCAGTTCATCCTTAAATTGATAGAAATCCATGGATTCTATCAATGTTTAAGCATCACTTCTTCCTCCACTCAGTCTGGGAACATGTCCTAGTCCCCTCCCCTGCCCCCAGCAAGGCCCGGGCCTAAGGGGTAAGCTTCCTGGCATTCGAGGGGCAGGTCCTTTCAAAACCTCCCTGCCCTACTCCTGACCCCACACTCACCTGAGCAGTGTCATGGATCCAGTCCAGAAACTCAGCTACCTTGGCGTAGACACCTGGGTGATTGGGCTCTGCGCAGCCACGACCCCAGCTGACCACCCCCACCAGGCGCCATGTGTCCCCATCTGGGCACACCAAGGGGCCCCCGCTATCCCCCTAAGAGATCCAGGCATGGAGACACAGAGAAACAGCCAGTTAGTTCTTCCTGATAGAGAGAACCAGACCACTATGGCAAATGGAATCTCCTTACTGGGCCCTTCCTGCTTCTAGCTGAGATACCTGCTGGCCTCACCCCTCCTTAAACCCTTAGCATGAGTTCCAGACTTGCCTGGGTGCCCTTCCTTCTAGAAAGGCTGTCTTACACCACCAACATGCTCAGACCAGGGCAGGGAGTTAAATCACAGCAGGCCCCCTGCCCTCCCACCCCCACCTCTACCTCCACCTCCACCCTCACCCCAGCCGCCACAGGCTGCACCTGGCATGCATCGGCTCTTCCATCCAGGTAGCCAGCACAAAGCATGCGGGGCGTGAGGGCTCCACTGTACATGCAAGAGCTGTTGCAGAGCTGAGTGCTGAGCAGGGGCACCACTGTGTCCTGAAGCATGTCCGAGCTGTAAGCTATGGGAGACACCGAGAAAAACTGCAGGGCAAGAATCAAGGCCAGGCAGGCAGAACAGCAAGAGGGGAGGTAATTAGAAGTCCCAGAGACATGGCGACCCAAAGAGGTGAGCCCAGGGTGGGAGCTGTGGACCCTGTGCAAGGAAGCAGGAGGGTATCAGACTTGGGGGCTAGGAATGGGAAAAGGAGGACTCACACATACACCAAATGCTGACACCATGGTGCTCCTGGGACAAGGGGAGGGGGAGTAAAAGGGTCTGGTTTGGGGAAAACTTTCAGTAGATGTACTCCCCAGAAAGGCCCAGGCAAGGGAGGCTGGACCCCCCAGGCCTGCCCAAGGCTGATGCCAGGGAAAAACAGGGCCGGCACTGTCATGCAGCCATGCCTCACCCTGGGGAAGAATGCCTCCCCCACCTGCTCCCACATCGAGGGCCCAGGGAGCTGACTCACTATGGCTGGGATCGGTGTGGCCCCAGCCAGACACCCAGCACTGCGAGCCCTTTGGAAAATGCTGCTCCTTGGCTGGCAGGCACACAGCACCCACGGTGTCTGTAGAGAAGCATATGGTCCTGGTCCCCAGTCAGGCTCGGCTTTCCCCACTGCAGAGCCTGGGCGAAGGACCCAGAACTGGCAGGTCCTCCTCCCACTCCCTTCTCAAACAGTTCTGGTTCCTGGGTTCCACCAGCCAGTCCTCCTAGATGGCTCTGCAAGTGTTGCACTGTCCCCATCCTAGGGGTCACCCATCACAGAGGACAGCATGCAAACTGCAGTGTGCACAGCGCCCTCTACAGGTGGACAGGGCCCACGCTGCCTCCCCTCCCCACACCTGGGGATGAAGTGGGGGTGAAAATTCTTTCAGGCCATGGGTACCCAACTTCTAATAAGGACAGTGTTTCCAAAAATATGTGACATATCCCATGGGTGCAGCCAAATATGATTTTAGGTAGTACATAGGCATGCCATTGAATAAACATTCACTTGGGGAGAATGCCATGTCCTTTTCAATTCTCTTTCAGTTCCTCTAACTGTATCACAGAGAAAGACTGTTTGGTGCTGGTCTGTGCCTTTCTTGCTACCTGCCAACCTCCCATCCAAACAGGAGACAGCAGGCCCAGGTGCAGCGACTTCTGCAGTGGGCTCAGCTACCTACAACTTCCACACTGATTTGTTTCATGCTACATATTTTTGTGGTTAGTCTCTATTTACGGTAAGTAATATAGGTTCTCTAGTTAGGTAAGTAATATACATTCTCTAACCAGAGAGGCTAGTTACTATACCTATTTCATATATTTAAATAATAAATATGCTATTTACTTACTATACTATATAGCAAATATGCTATTTACTATAACAAAACAAGTATATCTAAAAGAGAAATACTATTACATTAGATACCTATGCAGTATCTACTACTTAGAATACTAGAATACTTAGAAAATGAGCTGGGTGTGGTGGTGCGCACCTGTGGTCTCAACTACTTGGGAGGCTGAGGCTGGAGAATCAGTAGTAGATTCTACATAGGTATCTAATGTAGTAGTATTTCTCTTTTAAATATACTTATTTCAGTCAACTAAGACTTGTTTGTTTGTTTGTTTGTTTGTTTGGCTGGTTGGTTGGTTGGTTTTTTTTGAGATGGAGTCTTGCTTTGTCGCCCAAGCTGGAGTGCAGTGGTACGATCTGAGCTCATTGCAACCTCTGCCTCCCTGGTTCAAGTGATTCTCCTGCCTCAGCCTACTGAGTAGCTGGGACTACAGGTATGCACCACTACACCCAGCTCATTTTTGTAATTTTAGTAGAGATGAGGTTTCACCATGCTGGCCAGGCTTGTCTTGAACTCCTGACCTCAAGCGATCCACTCACCTTGGCTTCCCAAAGTGCTGGGATTACAGGCATGAGCCACCACGCCCAGACTAACTTAGAAATATTACCCATTGAACGATAGTTCAAATATGTGATAAAATATTTGTTAAATGTGTATGGCTGTTATTTGGGAAACCTAAGGCTACAGGTGATGATGGGAGGGAGGAGTGTTGAGTATATGTGAATGTCTGTATGTGTGCACAGTGTGCATGTTTGTGAGTGTGTGTGGTGTGTGTGCACAGGTGTGTTCATGTGAGCACGTATGTGTGAGCATGTGTGAATGCTCGCATATGAGTCTATATGCACGTGCCTGTGTGAGTGCATGTGTGTATGTGTGTTTGTAGGTGAATGCCCACATGCATGTGTGTGTCAGGGAGAGTGGTTGCTGGTATGGCTGCAGCCTGGAGTCATCTTCTAGGGCAGGTGCTGCAGCAGGTGGAGCCCTGACAACAGGCTTAGGAACTGTTTGCCAATGTGGCCTTGAAGACAGTCGCTTCCCTCCCTACACTGCAATGTCCTTATCTGTATCTACCTGTTTCATCTACCTATCAGGGTTGTTTCAAGGACTGAAAGGGAAGATATTTGAAAAAATGTATTTCATAAACTGTAGCATGGCACCAAATGGCCATGTTAGGGCCCAAGGCTGACCTGGGGATAGGGTAGAACAGCCTACTGGTGGATGGGGCAGCTGCCTGGGACCTCAAGGCAAAGCCCACCTGCAGCCCAGCCATGAAAAGGGCCTGAACCTTTGTTCCTAAAAGAGCCTGCACAAGAGTTGATAACAACTTCACATCCAGGTGATGCCAAAATTCACTAAGGTCCCCAAATGGACCGTAGTGAATTGTTTTAAGGTTTACAGTGCTCAAAGGAAACTTTGGAAATCAGCTCACCACTCCCACCCAGCCCCTGCCCTCTCCCGCCATTAGTCTCCAGCCTGCCCACCCTCAAGCCAACACTGCACCTGAGAAGTTGAGAGGGGTCCGGAGCCGCAAGAGGGCGATGTCGTAGTCATGATTCTGGGCACTGTAGAGTGGGTGTGAAATAATCCTCTCCACCACAGCCCCCTGGTGGGACCTGACCGCACTGTGGCTGACCAGCTCCGCATGAACCCGCCAGCTGGACAGGCGGGATAGCCTGAAACTGCACACAGGGGCCATGCTGAGCCGGGAAGGAAGGGGTAGAAGAAGTGTTCCTAAGTGAAGTGGCACATAGAGGAAGCTGGCCAGAGAGGCCATTGGTGGGAGGCCCATCAGTAGGTGGTGAGCTCCCAGGCCCCACGGACCATGCCTCTTAGTATCATCCCAGCAGCCGGCAAGACATTGGGCATGCAGTAGGTGATTAATAATGCTCCAGGCCTGATGGATAGAGAAGACCATGGGTCATCTGCAACCATTACTCCCTCTCTCCTGCATAACTTCCCTCCAAGTTTTCAAACACGCAGAAGGACTGGGTCAGAAAAACTGCCCCCAGTCCTGTCTCTGGACTTACTATGTGTAATCATGGGAGAAGCACTTCTCCCTCCTAGCCTTGGTAAAATGGGGATTACACTCTCCACCCTGTTCACCATCAAGAGAAGATCAAAGAGCTCATTCACTCATCATTAATTCGTTCCTCCAAGTCATAGTTATTAAGCACCTACTATATTCCAGGGACTATTCTAGACCCTGGAGACACAGCAGTGGAGAAATCTACCAAGAGATTCAATGGTAAATAAGACTGAGAGTCCCTGCTCCTGCACAGCTTCCAGTCTAAAAAGGAAGACGGATATTAACCAATAATTAATGGAAAATGATTGAACCAAAGATAAACCTGAAGAAATACAGTATGCTGTGAATGTGAAATTTTTTTTTTTTTTTT